CGGTCATCGTAGAAGAGCCAGCGGCGCTTCTCGTGTGTCATGTGTTTTTTACAGCCTGGATCTCAACATGTCATATGGCATTTGTTATATGAGGCGTGTGCGTGACGTATGATATGGATAGTACAAATTGAATGTCTCTTGGCAACTAGGAAGCTGTGATTTTGAAATGAATGCAGAGGCAGTTGTCTTTCCAATCAATACAGTACGTTTTTACGGAGCGAGCGAAGCGAGCGTAGTCTTTCCTTAGATTAACGGAAATTTCTGAGTATGAGCGGCCGGCCGGCCGGCCGGCCGGCCGTGGTCACGCTTTTGCGAGGCTGATATCTCAGCAACCACTTGACCGATTTACACGCGGTAATTTTTGTAGGGTAGCTTCATTCCTTCTACCAAGTATTGGACTATTCCCGATGCATGTGGGTGACCCCTTATGCACGTGCCACGTGCAAAACGAAGAGGTGTCACTTTTGTAATTGTTGCAATATCTCGGTAACTACTTGGCCGATTGCGCTGAAAGTTGGCATGTAGGTAGGCACCCACTAGGCAATGCATATCCATGTGCCAGAGTTGGGGTGCTGCTGCACGTGCGCACGTGCAGGGGTCGATTCCAGATCTCGAGAACGGCTGGACCGATGGCGCTCAAATTTGGCACATGGCTAGGGACCGGTTAGTAGGGTGCCGTGCAAAAGTCAGTTGGGACCCATTTTGCACGTGCGCACGTGCAGGGTGCCGCTTCCAGATCTCGAGAACGGCTGGGCCGATTGTGCCCAAATTTGGTACATCGCTAGAGACCGGTTAGTAGGGTGCCGTGCACAAGTCAGCTGGAGGTACCCCCTCGAAATTTCGCACGTGCAAGGCTCACCCTCTCGCTCGCTCCGTTAGTCGCCCCAAAAGGCGTTATACTGGTTCTTATACACACAAGCGCGGGTTGCTGTTGGTGTGGCTGAGCGTCGATGGCATGGGCGGATCCAGGAAATTCAGAGGAAGGGCGAAGGTGGTTACATAAATGGCGTCTCTTACCTTTGTGTGGGTAAAGAAATAAGTGCGCTAGGTATCTCAAGGGGATCTCACGAGGAATAGCAGGACCCCGCGAGCCCATCCCTTGATCCGCCACTGCGGAACGAAGCATCAATGGGGTATATAGAGAGCATCAAAGGAGCATCAATGTGGTGTATAGAGAGCATCAAATCAGCATCAATGGGGTATATAGAGAGCATCAATGGGGTATGTAGAGAGCATCAAAGGAGCATCAATGGGGTATATAGAGAGCATCAAAGGAGCATCAATGGGGTTTATAGCAAGCATCAAAGGAGCATCAATGGGGTATATAGATAGCATCAAAGGAGCATAGATTGGGTTTAGACGGAGCATCCGAACTATGCTAGGGGGCATCAAAGGGGCATAGAGGAGAATCAGGGGGAATACACTAGGCATTTCGTAAGAATAATGGAGGCATAACCAGATAATCATTTTGATTCCACTTAGCCATCCAACAGGCATATTAGGGTAATAATGTTGGGATATTGGGGGTATCTAAGGCCAAAAAGGTGCTACTTGAAGTATATTACGGGAATAATTGGGGTTTCGTTTTAGACCATTCTCCTAATATCACCCCCCGGAATCATTTTAGTTTTCAGTGTAGGGTTGCACTAATTGCTTATACATATGCCTGCTTTGTCATATTATCAGAGAGCATCGTTGATTAAAACACTGAAATATTTATGATATTTGCTGTAGAAGAAATTAGGTGCAGAGTTGGTTAAATCAGGTGCATTCGCCGGATAGCCCGTCGTGAAAACGGCTAGTATATAGGTAGTACCTACCTCTGTACCTGTACGTTATTGTACAACCCGCGAGTTGCTGGGGGGGGGGGGGCGTTTAACGTCCCTACTTTTTTCGCCGGGCCATAGCACAAAAACGGCGTGCTGCAAGCGCGCCAAATTTTGGGCACCTGTAGGGAATTGATTGAAGTTTATTGTGACAAAGTTTCAAAAAAATCGGTCGGAAATTTTTTGAGATATCGAGGTTTTAGTGACGTCATGATTTCTGAGTTTTCGACCAAAAAGGGCATATGTTCAAAAAATCATATAAAATCACAGAATAGACATCCAGACATGCTGTAAACGCCATTAGACTGCCAATACCATGAACAATCAAATGGCTATCTTCGATTATTGATTATCGTTCCGTATTTTCCAAAATCTTGAACTGAATCTTGGCAATTTCTCGTGACTACTTCACGACCATGACACATGCATTTCTTAAATTGAACCTTTTTTTAGCCAAACACGTACACATATGCTAAAATGAATGTCACCATCGTGTTCTACGCCCCAAAGTACCCATAAAACATGTGTCACAGGCTGCGAATACCTATCAGTTTTGATTTTCGGGGATATGTGCCTGCCCGGTTGACCTGACCTTGACCCTGACCTATGCTTTGCTGACCCCTACATGGAGCTGACACTCTTGTAGGCCTTATATGATGGATTGTGCACCGTTTTGACAGAGTTTATGACGAGAGGCGCCCATTGCGAAGTCCTGAAGTCCATGCTACTGAAAGCCCGATTTCAGGTGTTTGACCTGACCTTGACCCGACCCGTGACCTCAAAATTCAACTTTAAAGTACTCATCTGAAGCGTCTCGTTGCGTTCTTTCGTTTGCCGCCTCGTGCCGAGTGGCGTTATCACAAGTGTATTCGCGGCCATTGGGGCGACGTAAGAAAAGAAGAAAACAACTGGCTCCAAGAACTTTAAATTATCAGTTAGCATGCATCTTTTCCTTGATCGGTAGAGAATTTACCATTATTTGCTAGAGAAAATTGCATTTAAAATCTTCCATCTATGCTTTTTTCATCGTTTGCACAATATGTTCTTTTATTAAGCTAGAAATACTAATAAGAAATAGTTCCCGCATCATCAAGAACAATAGGGAAGGCTTGAAGTGAATACAATAATCTAAACGGTGTTGTAATCTATGCGAAGACACTTCTAAAATTGCCTGTAGAAATATTGAAGGCAAAAGTTCAACTTTTTCACAAGACGGATGTCTATAAACCTATTCAACGTGTGACAACTCAGCCGGTATTTCGTCGCCTACAGCCCAGCTTTCCCTATTGACCGATAGAGGCGCTGCTATCGATGTCCGCCCGTGCCGCCTAACGCGTTTCGCTGCGCCTATTGGTTCTCGAGTTATCGGCTGGGGGCGTTTAACGCCCCCCCCCCCCCCCCAGCAAACGGTGGGTGGCGAAATACCCCAGCAACTGCCGGGATATTGTCTACGGCCACCCTTGTAGGCCTAGGTCCGGTGCGAAAGCGGGAAACTCCAGCCGGCTCACATTTCTGGCTTGTATTACAACATTTAACAGCATTTGTTGGAATACACGTACACGACACACTGACACAGGCGGAGGGAACGAAAAGACAACCTGTTTGTTTTTGTGGCGGATGATGGATACTATAGCTGTTTCAAATTGAAAGGCTTTTCTTTTGTTATTATATTCCAACAAAAGTCTCAAATTATTTTTTATCATGTTTCATGATGGGTTCCTTAAGTTTCCGACTCTGACTGCTGACAGGATCTGTAGTGTTTTCGGCTTCTGCGGACCACGCATCGACGAAGTGCAGACGGCAAGAAAAGCTTGGTACGAAATAATGTAGAACGTCACCTATGTAGATGGCCAATGGCCATGCTGAGTCAATATTAAGCGAGCACATTCAATTAGCGTTTTGATGATATATTATTATTGACATCAACTTACAATTGTTGCCGGGGTCATTGAGTGGGTATTATTTGAACGGAAGTATGAAAGCCTAATGAAACGGAGATAAAAAGCCACTGATGTCGAGGCGCTGTGATATTGATTATTTTCGCACATTATTTCGCTTTCCTCTTCTAATTCGTATGCGATACGAGTACGTTTAAGGGTTGATATCAAAATTAACAGGAAGTACAGTCCACAGCAGAAGTAATGTGGGGTTTCAGTCATGGGTATGTTCTGCTTCTGAAGCTTAGGAACGATTAGCCAGACTACAATGAAACTTTGAATGTAGCTTATATGTATCGTCACCCTTGCAGCTGCAACTTTAGCTATTGACATCTTCTTTGCGATCACTCCGCATTAAACAATCGCCAGTCAAAGCCAACCGTTGAGATTGGTAAAACCCTACATTACTTTAGCGGTGGGCTGTACCTAGATTTTACAAAGATACCTAAGGAATAAGGTAACCAATAACAACTTGGTTCATTCAGCTACTTAGAGTGACATTTATACCCTCTGACCTCCAACATCCAGTCATCTGCAAGCCAGCATGGACCTGTTTGAAACAATGCCATCCATCCTTATCCGGCCGCCCACGCCTGCTGAATGCCTCCAAGCCTGTTTCGTTCCACCTGAGTACACAGTGACGTCGACAGGTCGTGGACAGGGACCGTCGGTCACTCTATGTGTGTGACGGACCGCAGGACCCGGAGCACGTCTACCCTCCCTTCCCCGCCCCTCCCCTCCCCCACACCTATCCGCCGCGGGCGACCCGGGTCGCTCACCCCCCCCCCCCCTCTCGCCACCTGACATTCAGCCGGGATTTCATAGGAATCCTCGCTGGGTCGGTGGCCCTCCGTTCAATTCCACTCGTGGCGGGCTCCATTACACAGGACAGCCGACCAGTCTCCCGTTCTCAGTACCCTCCGAGCCCACAGAAAGTGCCGCTCACTTGCGCGTGTTCGGTCCGAGCCAGAAATGCCTAAATTTTCAAAAACTGAGAGCCGTCGAAGCGGCCAGGCGGTGGCGTTTACCGGCCCCCATATAATCGGCTCGACCCTCCCTAACGGCAGTCCGAGGGTGGCGGCCAGTATAAAACGGCCAGGTCAAAGGGCGCTCGGGGTTTTGATTTTAAAACTAACAGATCACATATCTGTTCCTTAGGGATTAATATGTCACAGCGTACCACAAAAATAAAATTTAAACAACACCCTAAAAAGACATGCTACTCGCTGGCCCATGGCTTTGATTGCGCGATAAATGACACTGTTTGACTGTCCATTTTTAAAGTGACAGGGAAGTTGACAGTTTTCCACAAGACTCATAAATAGATCCGCCAACATTTGGTAGGTAGGTACAAACGGTTCAAAATCCTCCGAATTTCCTAAAGGACAAATTGGTCATGATACGTCTAGAGCTACATGATGCATTTGAAAACTTATCCATTCCTGAGCGATGGAGTATGTATCGGAGAGCAGATGCAAGACAGCCATACGCAGTACGCACCAGTCAAACAGTATAGAACCGGTGGAACACAGTACCCAATGCGCACCGCTGGCCTCTAGCCTGTCGGGCGCGGGCCTGTGTCATTGCTTCACAAGTATGGAGAGCGTTCGGCCACCGCCGCAAGACGGAGCTCGTGAGATGCCTCTCGTTTGGTCACCTGAGAGGCACACTCACACTGCCTCATCCCCCATGAACAGTCTTGATTCAGGAGCTAATACTTATCTTGTCAGTCAATTTGCTGCAAGTACAAAACATACGAGTCAAGTTCAGCGCAATCTAGCGGTGAATATGTCGCTCCGCCGGGATAATTGTAGTGCGCCTAACAATTAGCGTCATTTGCATGGAGTCCCTAATCATTCACTCTGCACAGGAGCACGCACACTGCCAGCGCGATCGGAGATCCACTGGGTGGAGTGCGCTGCGCGGCGGCGCGCTGCCGTTCGCCAGCGCGAGCGAAGAGTTCGCCGGCGACCTCGCTTAGTTTTGATTCTGGTCGGGCGGCGCGGCGCGGTCTGACTAGAGCCGGGTTTGTACGTGGTCGGAGGTGGGGTGGGACTGGCGGTCGGGGTCGGGGTCGCGGTCGTGGGGCGGCGGGGGCCGGCGGGCTCGGCGCCGCGCCCGCCGCCGGCCCGGTCAGTCGGCCACCTCACAGTCCTCCTCTGTCTGACTGCGGTTGCCCACCAGCAGCGTCCGCCGGAACCGGCGCTCCATGGCGCCGCGCCGGCACACACACTTGCACAGGATGCTGCTGAACGCGAACCGAAAGTCGCGGCTGCACAGCGCGTACACGCACGGGTTGACGGCCGAGTTGCAGTAGCCCAACCAGAAGAACACGCTGAACAGCAGCGGCGGCACGCAGTCGGCGCAGAAGCCCCGCACCAGGTAGCACACAAAGAATGGCAGCCAGCACAGGATGAACAGGCCCACGATGATGCCCACCGTCTTTGCCGCCTTGGTCTCCATGTGAAACCGCCGCGCCTGGTGTCTGACGTTCCGCCGGCTGACGCGTGATATGAACCGCGGCGGCCGCGAGTCGTCCTCGGAGCTCTGCGAGGCCGAGCTCAGCTTCTTGGCGGGCCGCTGCGGCTGCGGCACGCGCCGGCCCGGCCGCGAGTCACCCTCAACCACCGTGTAGATCTCGTACTGGTTCTTGGCGCGGCTGTCCTCGCGACAGTGCACCACAAACGAGGGCTTGTTCTGGCGGCGCGCGCCGGGCTCGCTGAGCGTCAGCCGCACCTGGCCGTGCGCGCGCGCGCCGCCGGCGGCCGCCTGCTCGGCGCGTTGCGTCACCGACCGACCGCGGTGGATGCGCAGCGTCAGCCGGCCCTCCTCGTCCTCCTTGGTGGTGCGGAAGCCCTGCGCGATGGCGCGCGTCGTGCTCACTGCCGTCCGGTAAATACGGCCGTAGAAGAACAGCATCACAGTGCTGGGCAGGAAGAAGGAGCCGAGTGCCGAGTAGATGACGTAGCCGCGCTCGTTGGTCAGCTCGCAGGTCAGCCGGCACGCCGAGGAGCCCCGCGAGCCGATCAGCGTGCCCGGCCGGTCGTTCCAACCGACCAGCGGCGGAAAGCAGATGACGAAACTGAGCACCCAGACGGCGGCGATCAGCTGCTTGGCGCGGCGCGTCGACATCAGGCTCGGGTAGCTGATGGGCTGGCTGACGGCCAGGTAGCGGTCCAGGCTGATGGCGCACAGGTTCAGGATGGACGAGGTGCACATCCAGACGTCGACGGCCAGCCAGACGCTGCACCAGACGTCGCCGTACAGCCAAACGTCGAGCACCTCCAGCGTCGCCGAGAAGGGCAGCACCAGCATGCCGACGAGCAGGTCGGCGCAGGCCAGCGACACGATGAACAGGTTGGTGACGGTGCGCAGCTTGCTGTGCACGAACACGGCCATCACGACCAGCAGGTTGCCGGCCACCACCATCAGGTTGAGGAAGGCGAGCGCCAGCAGCGAGATGAGCCGGTGGTCGGCCCAGTCGAACAGCGTCGCCGGCCGGCCGCAGCTCACGTTCAGCGTCACGTTATCGGCCGGCGCCGGCGACAGCGGCGGCCCTTCCATGGCGAGCCGCGCCGGCCGCTCTGCCGTCCCCACCGCGCCTGAAATCAGACAGATACGGCCGGTCACAGCTCCATCCGATACACCAGTGATCACGGGTAGCTAACAGACGCACGAGAACAGGTCACAGGTACAACCCTCGTACTGTGGTCATCACGTCACAGACAGACAACAAGGGCGGCATCACGGATCACTCGACTCCCCGAGCGTCGTACCCGCGACCTTCCCCCGGCCGACCTCGCGCTGTTGCTCCATGCCGCACTCGGGTCGGAAGGGCGGCGGGGCGGAGCGTGCGGGTGGGAGGTGACTCGTCGGCGGCACCCGCACCACCATGTGCTCGGCCTTCCGCCACTCGAATTATCCACTAGGCTAAATCAGCGGGCCGAAATCGCTCCAACATTAGATCTATTCCCAGCCGCGCCCCTGCCCGACGATGGGGTGGCCACGGAAATTAAACCAATTATACGCGCTTTGTCGAAATGCATGGCCCTAAAGCTTCGATTTTAGTCGAGTTGGACTGAAATTGATGCAAAGTTTAGCGTCGGTTATATCCCGTGTCAGACAGCGAACGGCCGCGTGCTGGAGATGGCGGCGCGCTCTTCAGCGCCGGCCGGCCGGAGGGGGCACGGCCACTTCGAGATAGTTACCCGCGTGATTATTGCACACTCACCAAGAATAAAGGAAATCAAATGAGGAATCATTCAACGAATGCTGACCGGGGCTGGCTTGGAGAAGCTTTCATTCTTTCCCCGAGCCTCCAGTCGAGTGTAATCATACGGTTCGTTATGGGCTTCCTTTGCGACCGACAGCTCGAATTCAGATTCTAAGAGAGATCTAACCGTAATCTTCATTAACGGTAATTGACGTTCCCAATCCAATCAGTGTCACCTCGGCGGGCGGGCTGAGCTCCCGCGGCCTACCAAGGCGCGGTCGGAGCACTCCTTCCAGCGGCGGTCGGTCCGCTGGTGCCCCTGGTATCCCCAGGGAGGCGCTGCCGGGCCCCGGAGCTCGCGGCAGGGCAGGTGTCTATCGGTGACTGGTCGGAATCGGTGCCACGATATCCGTGATTAATTACTGGCAGCCCGCATGTGGGAAAACAGTAATAATCGCAGCTCACGCTCACACCGCTACCATGCAGTGCAAAACTGACGGCTAGTAAATATAGAAGGGCATTCGGAGGTTGGATAATGCCCCTTGCAACCCTTAAACCTTACACCTAATTATGAACCATTATCACCCCATTGTCTGCTTAGCATACCCGTTGATATGTTTTAATAGAACAAAATGAAATTCATTAGCGTTATGTTCAGTGATGTAATCTGGCTGATGCGCCAGTTACCAACAGCATATTGTTATCGAATGCTGGCATCTTGACAGTCGAATAATTTGAACGCCAATTTATTGCAGCACGTATCTCACCCTCCGCGTAATTGAGCTCGTATACGGAAGCTATTGTTTTCGAGCGTCAAATACTGGTGAGCTTGTCGCCTAGCTTGGCCTTCGAGTTTCGAGAAGCGTTCACCATGACTCGTAGCACAAGATGATGAGACCTGAGGTCACCGTTCCACCACAGGGGGAGCCTTCCGCACTAAAACCCCCGCGGCGGTCCCCGGATGCTCCGCGGTGGTCCTCCGATGTTCCGCGGCGTCCCCGGGCGTTCCGCAGCGGTCGGAGCCGCGACCACGGGAGCCGGTGGGGCGGCTCTGATTTGGCCGAGCGGCTGTTGGCCAGCGTGACAACCAAACAGCCCAGCGGCGCCACTGACAGCCGTTTCAAACAGGCACCGTGTCTCAGAAATACGCCCGGGACGTGGGGCGCGGCGGGGCTCGAGATCGGCGGCGGCTGCCGACCACCGGGTGCAGCCGGGGGATGGCTAAACAGGCGCTCCGCGGATAAACAGGCCCTCAGTTCACGGCGGCGTGAGAGCAGCGGCCACCCACACAAACACGGCCGGAACAGGCGCATCGGCGCACAGACAACACAAAACCGGCGCGGCCGCACATCACAGGCGCGCTGAGAGGCTAATGGCGTTATGAATGTGACTGACGACAGTACCGCCAGACAGCCAGGTGTTCGAGCTGTGCCGGCGCGCACTTGAGGTGCAGACGGGGTGACGGAGAAGTATGGAGATGGTCAGATGGAGCACGGATAGAGTGGGGATGTGGTCCGGGTGCAGTCTAATCAAGCAACATTGATGACTATGAGTGCCTCTCCGATTTTACGTGAAAATAGTTAAAAACGGCAACTCGTGGGGTATACCTATGCTTTTAGCGGATTAGGCTGCTGTGACCAGCGCGGTCCGCGTTCACCGCCGCCGGCCGCTGGGACCGGCGTGCTCGCCGCCGCCGGCCGACGCCGTCACCTCTCGGCGCTGTTTAGGCCCGCGGCTCGCCATCTTTGTTTATGGCCCGCCCTAACGATGTCGATCGGAGGGTTGACCATTAGCGGTCAGCGGCACCGCCGGGCGTCCGACCGCGCCCAGCTGACCCCGTGCAGGGCCGCCGCCGACCCTGAGCGCCGGCCGGCCCTACATGGCGCACCAGACGCCAAACCGCTCCAACAGCTCACCTGGCATCATCAGGCAGGCATTGGGCCGCTAGCAAGAAAGGCGATATGATACAATATGGCTTATTGCCTCGAGTTCAGGGTCACAATGGAATGGTTCATCTATTCGGGCCGTTCTCACTTGCCAAACGCTCAAGCGCCAAGCTCAGTCGCCATCAGTGCTGGCCTGATTGTAGAAATATTGCAGGATTTCGCTTTGGTGAATTAGAGTAGGTATACCAGATACTTATTAGTCTATTGCTTACGCATGCACAACTATTCGTAACAATATACTATACGCTATACATTCTTTTTTTAATCACTCGGGTGGGAGGCAGCAAAAGCATTATGACCAAAAGCTGCTGTTGACCAGCGTTTCTCTTCTCAAAATTGCACCTTCTCGTATACGTCAATCACAGCTCAGGCTAATCCCGACAGCGTCCGTACGGACTGTCTTGCGTCATCGTTTCATTACCCGAGCGTGCACCAGTCGGATGTACAATGTACAGTACAGGGCCTGGGGGCGGGGGACGCCTGGTGTAAACACAGGACACCCCACCCCCGCACCGCTCCGGGCAGAGGGCGGGGGTCTGCACGGATTAATCACCTCCCGGCCCAGCCGGCGCCGGCGGCGTTACTGACAGGACAGTGACGCTGCAGGACGGCCGCGCTGACCGCGCCGGTCTCCGCGGGCCGCCCTTCCCTGAGAAAGGCGTGGTTTATGCAGGACGACCTGTGCGGGCTCAGGTGGGCAGCAACACTCGGGATTTACGGCTCAATGCACTGACACAGACACTGGCGGCAATCACGAGATAAGCCCCATGCAATAACAATTATCTTCCGGAGAAACGAATACACTTATAAAGGTAAGCTTATAAAGTGTGGTTTTAAAAAGTAACGTTGAGTCGTCAATGCAAGCTCTCATTTTTGTCAGGCTCCATAGCTATTTTTCATTTTTACCAGGTCAAATGGGCTCCAATTCTAGCCATTTTTATGTTCGTTGATATTTTTTGTTTCTTTCTTGCATGCTTGGCGTTCAAATACAGTGTTAGCAACGCATTCAGTGAATAACTTCCTACCTGCACTACCTTCCTTCCTACCCTCGCCTGCACTGGTGTTTTTCCAGTCGCGAACGTATAAGGGGGGGGGGCGTTGGACCCCCCTTACCGTTTCGCCCTGATCAAGCTAGAGCTTCGCAGAAGAAACAAAAAAAGAGCGTGTTGCCCATGACGAGACGAAGCCGATGATACCCAATTTTAAGATTCTAGGTCATCGGTTGACCTTCCAGGTCAGGTCAATGACCCAAAAGTCGGGAAAATCGGGACCTGTTAGAACGTGGTAAAGGGTGGCTACTACGGGGTTTTCGGGGTGCTGATAACGACTATCATATCATGTATGTAGGTAAGTTATGATCATAGATGATGTCTTCATGCATTTAGGCCAGGTCGGGTCAGGTCAGGTCAGGTCAACCAATAATGGTTTTGCCGGGTATCCGTAGTAGGTGTCAACCGCCTCTGACAGATTCGTAACATGTTACGAAGGCACCACAACTACTTCGTAAATGTTCATATGGTTGCTAAATTCGAATTCAGCTCTAAAAACTGGCCTAGATACATGTAAAACTCGAAAAAGTGAGCCGAGGTCATCAAAGGTCAATGACCTGATTTTACCTTCAGGTGACCTTGACACCCACCCTAATGCATGGGACCAACATCATATCACATGTTTGAACGCTTGAAAGCATGAAAAGACTGCGAACGCGCGGCTAATGCGAGCCGACATACGCCGAATCGGGATTCCGGCCAAACATGGTCTTGAAAAGTATGTCACAGGTAAAAGGTCATTTGGGTCAGGGTCATGAAATTTTCAGGGTAGGTGTAAAATTGATAAACGCGAGGGTACTGAACGTTTCGTCCCGATCAGCCGTTTTTTACGTGAGTTATTTGTGAAAAACCGAGGGGGTCCGTTCGACCCCCCCCCCCCCTATACGGGCGAGGTTTAACCCGGCACCGCCTGGGCTATTTCCGTACCCACAACAGCCTGGGAGGGGGGGGGTCGGATCCGACCCCCCCCTGTTATCTCGAGAACCAATGGTCGTATCGAGCCCCGCGAGGCGGCGTTCGAAAGGTCTCTACGAGACCTTCCCAAAGCACTCTAAGATTTTAAGATTGAGGTCAACTTTCGGGTCAAGGTCAGGTCAAAAGTCAAATTCTGGGGTTATGCATGATTAGGCTTACGGACAGCGGAATCGATAGCTGCTGCTCGAAACTCACCAAAAATGACCTCAAAGACCTAGTGAAGGTACCATGTGCGTATAGGGGTCATACTAAGTACGGGTCAAGGTCAGGTCAGGTCACGAAAGGTCACGGTTTTTACTTTCTGCTACATGGGCGTGCGACACATGTTTTATGGCTTATTTTTCACGCCGAATTCGATGGTAATGGTTATATGTAAACCCAAGTTACTGTGCTGGTGATAAGTGGGCATTGAAAGCATA